GAATTACAAGACATTTTCTGTAAACTGGCTCTTGTGACATTCTATTATGTACATTAGCTTAACATGTTATACATGTTAGTGGAAATATGCAAAACAAACATATATTTGTGTTTCTAAGTCTTAAGGTTCAGTCTAGTTCTGGAAACACAATGACTTAAAATGTTTAAAAAAAGTTTTGTGTAAGATGTTTAATTTAGGGCAGCACGGTGGCGCAGCAGGTAGAGCTGCTGCCTCTCAGTGAGCAGGTCCTTGGTTCAAACCCCGGTCCAGGGACCTTTCTGGGTGGAGTTTGCATGTTCTCTCTGTGCATGCGTGGGTTTTCTCCGGGTACTCCAATTTCCTCCCACAGTCCAAAAACATGCATGTTAGACTGATTGGTGACTCTAAATTGTCTCTAGGTGTGAGTGATTGAATGGTAGTTTGTCTCTATGTGTCCCTGTGATGGACTGGAGACCTGTCTAGGGTGTCCCCCGCCTCTCGAACAGTGACTGCTTGACATGGACACCAGTGACCCCCGCGACCCAAAATGGAAGAAGTGGGTAAAGATAATTGATGGATGGATGTTTAATTTAAATTTACTTGTCTTGTTGATCAATTGCTATTTTTTTAATCAATCTATTTAAAAAAAGTTTTCTTTTGAACTAAGGACATTAGGGGCTTGATGGAGGTTGTCCAAGGGCCACTTTTGGGCCTCGGGCCTCAAGTTACGCACATCTGATCTAACACATCGTGCTTTAGGTTTTTCTACTGATGATGTGGCTGTGAATTGGAATCTTAAGCGTAGAGATGCACCGATCCAATACCAATATTGGTATCGGTCCCGATATTGAAAAAAACTTCTGGATCGGGTATCGGTGACGATGTGACCGATCCATGACTGGGCAGATCTATTCACTCTAATTGTGTAATTATACTGACTGAACAAATTCAAGTTGTGTTGTTTTTACATGTTTGAGCGAGCTTGTGAAGCTCTTGGTGTGTTTGTGCTGTTCTGGTGCTGAGTTTTCAGTAAATTTGTAATTCAGTACATTCATGTCTGCGTTAATTCAGCACTGGGTTTGTAAGCTCAATAATCCAGGTAGACGACAACAAAAATGGTTAAATCATGTCATCTGGAACAGGTCCAGATGACATGATTTAACCATTTTTGTTAATTCAGCAGTTTTTCTGTATCAGATCGATATCGGATCGGTATCGACCGACTCGAACATCGAGTATCGGAAGTGGAAAAAGTGTATTGGTGCATCCCTGCTTAAAAGATTCCTTACTCTGGGAGAAGTGGTGGACATCTCAGGCAGGTTTATTCCCTGCACTGACTTCTGCTAGGAAAAAAAGAAGTCTTTATGCATATACACTTTTCAGAAACAATAGGTTTAAGATTGTTTTATGCTGTTTGCTTTGGGGGAATTAGATTTGCATGCCATCAATTTGACGCAGAGAAGGAAGCTAAACTGAATAATACATTAGATGACTAGGCTCAAGTTGATTGGCCTGTGGGTGGGGAAAAGGCTTTTATTCAGTGGTTAGAGATTTTTAATAGGCTTTGTCGAATATTTAGTTTATTTTCTAGGATTTTAACTGACCTAACTATTTTCTAAGAAGCTGCAGTGTGGGGTTTTTTTACAAGTAAGAAAAAATGCAGGTCTGTTATATTCAAGCCCCTGGCAAAATTCACACAATGCTGATCAAGCATATCAGTACTCGCAGAGTACTAGAGTGCAAAATCTGGTGTCGCTGGTGTTATTCTCACACAAGTGTGCTGATGGGGTATTTAAAATAAATAAAAATCAAATAGCAACCATTAGTTAAAATGCTACAGTTAAAGAGGGTAAAATTAGTAGAGCCAGAAGTTTCAGCGATTTAGACCATGACAAAGTCTGTGTTTAGAGTCAAGAATGTACTAAGACAAGCTGGCAACTATTCAAATGAAATCACTTTGTTAGGTTAAGAGGAACAACTATGCCACTATGCTGTTTGGATAGCAACAGTGTAATGTCAGTCTTTATTCTTTTTTTCTACTAACAATTAATTAACAGCGACAGGAGGCAGGTTTACACAATGAGTCATTTATTTCTCTTGGCCGCATAAATGGTGAAACGACTGTGTGGCACCACCATCAACTCATTTATTAACACACACACATGAACATTGCACATCCTGTCTAACTACAGAAGCTGCATAAGCTAACAGCAAAAGCAACCTGAATTAAATATTAATTGCCACTTAGTATTTAATTTACTGTATTTTCTGCTGTACACATCGTTCCACCCTATAAGTCCCATCAGTCCAAATATGTCTAATAAAGTGGAAAAAAAATCCATAAATATGTCGCTTCGCCGTATAAGTTGCATCTATTATGCGTCAACGCTGACAACCCGGAAATGTGGGCCGGTGTTGTGCCAAAAATCGTTTGACTGCCAAATGGCGGCTGTGGTAGCGTGCACGGGAGGACTTTAACAAGATTAACACTTAAAAACAATTATTTGTTTGCTCAAAATTATAGTAAAGGTTTGTCTCATTTGAACTTTTCCTTAATAAATGCACTTTGACGGTCAAATCTGTTGAATTTCAAAAACTGATACGTGGAAGTAGGAACACTATATTTATTTTAGTATTTATATATTTTAAGGCTTTACAAACCCTTCTCATACTCTTGCAAAGCTTTAAACTCTTAAACCTATGTAATTTTAACAACACGTGTATATGTACTGTACAGTACTGCAACATTTTATATGGGTACTCACCAGCTCTGCAAAAGCTCGATTCTGGTCCGGCTCGGTTCCGTTAAGATGTCCTGCAGCATGATGAAGCCTGCCGCCCCGTCCAGGTTGATGTGCACGTGCTGCCGCTCCAGGAAGGACACTCTGCGTGCAAGGCTGCCCAGGATGTAGTCCGCCACCTCGGCCCGGATCCGGACCAGCACCGCGTGACCAGAACAAGGCCGAACCCCGCCGCTGTCTTCATGTTCCCTGCAGCCCCCAGGTTCTGGGTCCCACAGAGTCTGGATCAACTGCAGCCCAGGGTACTCACCAGTGAAGATGCTTCTTGAAGGATGAGTTCGTCTTCAGGATTATTTGCAACTTCCCTGTCAGTTCTGTGAGATTAACAGATAGATCCTCCCTCCATTGCACCATTTCTGCCTGCCTTTAACATAATAATAATAATTTATTGCACAGTAATAACTTGCACATTAGAGCAGGGCTATTGAACTGGTGGCCTAC